AGTTTAGTATGATTACCATGCGGACACGGCCCTCTGTCTTTCCCTCCATCTTTCCTTCGTCACTGCAGCAAAAGCTGCCCCCGCGAATGCAAGTAATCGGTGATCAGGCGCTAGTCGCTCGTCATCACAGGGGTCCAAAGGCCTCTGTTCCAGCTTCTGGGGTTAGGAGGCAACCGAAGATTGGTTCTCATAGGAGATCCCCCGTAATTCATCGTCTGTCCACCGTCGTGATCGAGCACCTACATCGGACGCTAGGTCAGACACGGCCGCCACTTGGGTTGAACACAGTAGCCATCCTAGCCACCGGCTAAATCACTATCGACTACGTTGCTTTTGCCAGGAGTTCCCTATTTTGATAAGCTCGAAGTATCTTACAGCTACTGCCCTTCGCACGAAATCCTGTACTTCGGGGCGATGGTGAGTCTGCTGAGGTTCTGCCAAGTTCGCGCACGAGTCCGCTGCGGAACCTTACGGATCCATGGCCGGATCGTGTTGGCTAGTGGTGCAAAATGAGGGGGGTGAAACTATCCCAAAGCCAAGCACCACTGGCTGACCTAGACTTGGCACTCAGCGATAATTCGCGCTCAGTTCTGTATATACGCATGAGCAGTAACAATTTTTCTCCTACATATATAGCAGTCGCCTACTTTCACCGCCACTGCAGATAGTGTTGCCGCTGATAAAAAACAAAGTAGCGTTTCATTCATGCTACTGCGATTGGGCAACGCTTTTTGACGATAACCTTGGTCTAATCAGCGAGCCTGTCGGCCTATCGGAGTAATATATCTTAGCAACCAGTCCTACAAGCAAACGCATATGGTGTTGCTGCGCTTTTTCCGTTGTTCAAAACTGCAGAAGTGATCGCATGCGGCCGATTATAAATCCTAGATAGATGGACGGCTCTTCGGCGATTTTCTGCTAATGCAGAGTACAGATATTCTGGACAATCAGGTCAATGTACCTTAAACGTTTTATCATTTGCGGAATTGAATTTCTGTTGCAGATCGATTTGCCCTAGGTTTTCAGTTGTAGCCATAGGTTAGTGTTGTAATTAGAACGAGTGTGTGATTTCTTTAATTTGATTAAATATAAATCATTAATTATAGTAGAAGTGTTAAAACGCTGTACCAACGTTTCAACACTTAAATAATAAAAACTTATCGAAATAACTTTGTGCCACATTTAATAATAAAATAGAACACTACAGTAAATATTGACGTTACCGTTTAGCGTGAGTTTTACGTGACGTACTATACGATTCCTTTATTTAGCCAAATGAGATACGAAACGCTTCTCAGTCTACGTATTATTAGTGATATCGATTAAATTAATTTTAATAATTCGAGTCAAGAGGTAGTTAGTTGTTTAAGCTCTTAATGTTTTCGTAGTTGCAGGTAGGTCAGCCGTCACTGCGCTCACGCTGTAGGCGTCGTCAGCTAAATCAGATCAACGACGCTTGAACGTCGCTAGTTAACAACAGGACAACGACGTCCGATACTGGTCTACAGCGACCCGAACGCCGATGACAGAGTACGGCGCCTGCGCATGACTGTGATCGCAAACGTACCGTTTACTTATTGATACGGTCGTGAACGACTTCGTAGGTTATTCGAACCACCCGTCTATTTGTAGGTTACAGGCTGAAAATTGGAACATGTCTATACGGATAGATAGCGCAGATGTTCGTCAAGACAAAATTCCCAAATTGCACGCAGACAAGTAAACAGCTAGCGCAAAGCGATATCTTTGCTAAGTGGCTAGATATTATGTAAATTGGCTCACCCTAGCATCGTTGATAGTTTAACTAAGTAGTCATTAAAATATGAATGTATCGCGGGTACTTGTTTTGTCACAGGGTGCAGTTACAACAATTAGTCTTCTCCCTTTCATAGCTTCAAATGTAAATCATATGTATCATGTGAGCAACAGGATGTAAGAAAAGACGCGCGAGAGCCTACACAGCCCGGGCATATATGTGCCGCCACCCCTAACCCAGAATCCATTTGCCTGATGCCACTGACATCGCCGTCATGTATGTACCAGAAGCCATTCTCCAGCCTAAGTAACCAATTTTGAACCGAGTACGGAACATGTACACAGCCATACGGGCGGTCTGATGATAGTGGTCAAATCAGTTCAGAGGTAGGACAAGCTAAACACTATCTTGTCGTATAACCAGTCTAATTTAGCCTGTTAATGAACGTTTGAGTCAAACAAGAGGATACGCGGTGGGCTACATTAAAATCTTCGTCTAAGAAAAATCAGCCTGATTCCAAAAGTAATTGCATTGATGAATACTCATTAAGGTTAGCTCTCATTTTTCTGACATTGCCGGCAAACAAAGCTATTCGAACGGCCACCCATGGTGACATCTGCCGGAGTTGTTGCTAAACGTCATCGTGGGTAAACGCGGCGGTACCACCGATCGACGTGTAACGCTGGCCATTGCAGCGTGGCCTGTGAAACAGCCACTGACACTCCGGCGATGATGCCCCATTATTAAACATGAGACTGTTATTACCGCTGACGTTATTGCCGTCAACGAACTAGCCTCAGTAACTCATTAATTATGTTGTCCGACAACATTACATGCTAAGATACATACAAAACAATGTATCTATTTATGTAAGACATCGTAGAAAGTAGACCCTTGGGCAGAATGAAATCGCACATCAAATCTAGCCAACAAACTGAAAAAAAGAATAGACGTCTCATATATATATATTGCTATTAGCTTGTTGTCATTGTTGGAGAACTCTGAAGCTTTGAACAACGGAAAAAAAACGTGAAAATGAGGAGAGCGAGGATCGGTATTATGTAGGATACAGGCTCCTTGTAACCGTTGCGCCAGTCCTACCACAATGATTTGGTCTGCGGAAGGCTTTCGACGGCGACGGTAATACGCTCTCATCAGGCTAATGATGCGGGCGTGGTTACGCCACGTGTAAGCTGTATAATCTCATAGTAGTTGGTAGTACTCATCAGTAGAACTAGCACCGCGTTGCTGGTGGTGGTCACTTGTAGTAAAATTTGTGGGGAGATACGCCTAGTTATGATTATTATTATCGCGCGCCCGCGATTTGTGGCCTAAGACCAAAGAGAATGACAGAAGGAAAACAATGTGAAAGCGAGCACGCCTTTGTGCCTCTTAAGCGAAATATTATGCTAATGCGGTTTAAATTGTACAATTTTTCATTGCATAAAATGCTGCATCTGCATTTCGTTCTAAATATTTATAGCAACGGGGAGATTTTCTCTTAACGCAGAGCTCGAAGTGGTCGACATCCATGGGTTCTTCCAATAGAAAGTTGAAACTGGGGCATTTGCAGCAACTAAAACAGAGTGGTATTCGTTAGCACGGGTGCAAAGTTTAGTGAACACATCTGCAGTATTCGCTTGAAACTCATTACGCGCTAGAAAGGCGTCAGTACTTGCAAGAGGTTCCACTCAATAAGTCGCCGATTTTTACCAATCACCAAACAAATTGTTACCTCGTTGGTTTCTAGCCACCGCGGAGCGTTTTGTTCCCCTTGTTTGCTAGGCCTCTAACCCGCTGGAGCTTCGTGCTGAGAACAGACCTGCTTTTGTCGGGCCAGTAGGACTCGTTGTCGCATCGTTTCTTATTTTGCACTGCGTTTCGCTTTCGTCCACGTGTCCCTGCTGAACAAACAGGCTACTTACAGGACAAACTGTCAAAAGCCTAGCGCCTATGACCTAACCCTGCTTGCAGTCGCGGGCAAAACTCCGAGGAGTTTTTAGACTTCTCGCTACTTTGCTGCGTCGTAATAGCCTCGTTCTCTGGTAATGTCGCAGGAACGTTTGGCAACCTGACACACCCTTGCCGCTCTTTGCCATTGCCCGTAACGCGCTTACAATACCTTGTCTCCCACTGATGCTGCAACGCCTTTTTACCGGCTTAGTCAATTCCGTCTTACAAGAAAGGGCCGGCCCGGCCATCGATGGAAGGTTCGCCCAGACTCCTTTACCAACAGCAACCGCCTGGAGCGAAAATTAAGTATCCAATTTGGCATTTCATTCAAGTTCAAAAAACAGCTGTTTCCGCCTCCTACGAGATGAACTAACCCCAATTGCACCAAGCGACCAGGGCCGCACAGCTGAACGCAAATATTGGCATTTGTCGTGACATGCGCGTTCTCATGAACGTACATACATAATTACGCCCAAAGATACCACAGCAGCTGACGCCCTTTCCCTACGCACATAGACGCACGCCGATGTAAAATACGGACATTTTGATCGCAGGAACTTTTGCGATTCTTTCGCTAGTGCTCCGCATTTAACAACGGTAGTTGGGATGACTTCAGAAGATTCTAAATTGCGGACCGGGTGTGTAGCGAGCAAATAGGGTCAGGTCAGAATAAAGAACTTTGCCGTATATCTTAGCACGGCGATGACATAACAAGGAAGGTGGAAGTATGAAAGACTTAGTAGAAGCACGATTCCATTGAAAACTGAAGAAGAGACTGGAGCCGGCGCGAAGGGAGAACATACGAGGGCGAAAAGGCGTCTTTTCTCTTTTGAGGAAAGGCAGCGTCTAGTTTAGCACCTGCGGAGTCTTTAGGCCGCTCCGGACCACCTGGCAGGGTGCCGGAGTCTCTTGTCACGCAGCGAACGCCTTCGGCCAGTTACACGTGGTAAATGAGGTTGGTGGCGCAATTGGCAAGGTTTCAGCAGGAACAGACAGGTAGAAACAGAGCGATTCGACTGCATTGCAACGATGGTTCTGCTACTGTGTAGTTCTAAATCGAAGCTTTGGTAAGTTTTGTTGCACACGCAAAGAACACATCTGTGTAGGGTCTTGGTAGGACGATGTTGAGGATCATCATCCACTCGACGTTCTCTGTTCAAAACTCACCACCCAGACGAAAATGGCCGGCTTTCCTTCGTCAATCTCGTGCGCACTAATATCTCATTGCCTATTTTCCTTACTGAACTGCTGGATGTCTTCTCAATCGTTTCTTGGTAGAATAAGAGCGCACTTCGGCTCTCTTTGTGGCATTCGCCCCCGCTACTGTCCTGATGTCCTGAATGCCCTTCAAGACCAGGCAACAGACCGAGCGGTAGACAATCCAAATCGGAGAAGCTCATGGTCAAGCGTCTAAGGATCTGGCGATTGTGGTCGAAGCACTGGATATAATCGCCACCTTCACAGCCCTTGAAGAGGGAATGGTAAAAATCGAGACTGGGCTGAAGTGGCCCGGATAGTCTCTCGTAAATATCATCTGTCAGCATTTTAGACGAGAAAAAGCCCAAAACGTCGCAGCAAACGACAACGATGAAGGGTCGAGTCCAATAGTAGCGACGGTGGCCTAGGTCTACCGCAACTCACGTCTTAGAAATGGCAGCTTCGATGATTATCTGACAGTTGGCAGAGCCAAAGCATGTGCAGAACTCTTCTTAGATAATTGTGTATAATACTGGCAGACACTGAAAGCAAAAATTGCCAGCACTGGCGTTAGGAATTGTGCGCGGTGACTATTTTATCTTCGTGGCCGTCACTGGCGACAAAGGTAACAAAAACCATAATGGTGGTTGACGATGACAGCCAAGACGGATGCTTCCATCATTTGGCCATAGGCGATCTGCATCTGGCAATAGTCAATAGGTGGAATGGTCAAAAGAAACAGGCTGAAATTGTGGTGGCGACCCGATCGTAGGTTTGACGGCTGACAATGGTGAATGAATACAACAGGTAAAGACCAATAAGGCATAAGTCGTGAGGCGTTTACGTGCTTCTCCATAAGGGGTAAAACGAAAACGAAATGTCCTAGTTAGCTACACGACCTGCTTAAAGGCATACGCTGTCGAAAATCAACATACCGAACGCTGACGATAATTGAGTTAAACGAGAGCTACCCTCACTGAATCACTATTTAAGAGTAGGAATTGCTCGAAAATGCAAGCGTTTACATACAGAGAGCAAGCCACGTGTGAACGGCTGTCTTCAGAGTTTGCTCAATCACCTCTTCGAACATCAATCCCGCAAGCCTTTGCTAGCGGTTACTGCTTTTTGCCGGCGTGAATGCTTGCGGTAGCAGTTTGGGGGAGCAGAGAAGATAACTGAAGAAGGCGTAGGAAGCGCGGAAACGCAGTCGGATAAGCAATTGGATAAGCGGCGTCACATTCTGTGTAATTACACTCACATATAAGCACTTCCACAACACGTAGTCACTGAAAAGGGGTGCAGGACACGTACCTCAAACGCCTTGGTCGAAACTTTTTCTCAGGCCAGTAAAGCATGCGATTTCTTAATCTGTTAACTTGTATCACCAAGTTACTCCGGCATTACGATGGTAATCGTAATCGCTTGCTCTCACTCTGATCAGATCGTTTCGTTAGCCGTTTAGTAACTTTAACGCTATCAGTTAATATAGATATGGGGTAGACTCGCATTGACGTGCGGTCACCGAACGGAGGCAGCTACGCGACTTTGACGATTATGAACGCAGATGGCCCAACGGCTGTTCTTTCTGGGCTGCAACCCAACATTAGTCGTTGGCTTAGAACCAGAAGCGGGCGGCAAGCGGCAAAGGCGGTTGTAGGTTTCGAAAGTTATGTGAAAAGCTTGTGAGTTGGCTGGCAGCCGAAGACGTCCAAGGGGACAAAAGAGACGCAAAAGTGGGGGAAATCTCTCAAAGGAACGGGCTTCATTCGTAGACGTCGTCTGTGAGGATCCGTGTGTAAGGAGATGCTTCGTTGGTTGGTTGGTTGATGTTCTTCGCTCTTTGTCTTCGTTCCTTGGTACGCTCACTCGCTATTTTTGTTCCTTTCTACTTTTCTTTCCTCCTTGCTGATTCTTTTGCTATCTCCCGTTATTTCGTGCGCGTCGTTTTTGCTCTGAGCACTCCTCCTGTTTCGGCCGCTTTCCTGTGCTACTGGCTGTGCAGCTCCCCTTGGGCGGCAATGCCTCCTTAATGCCCCTCTGCGCACTACCGAACTCCAGGGCTCTTCGTTGTCGTCGGTGTGCGTTTGCCCCTACCCCATCTTCCCGGTCTTCCCGTTGCCAAGTTCCGAGCTTAACGGGATGGGTGCTGACTGTTTCCGACTTCTTCTGATCTTTTTTCTCTCCTCTCCCCTCGTCCTCGTACGCCCGGCCGGCCACTCGGCCAACCGTCTCCTGAGTCTCCCCGAGCGCACTCCCAAGCACTACCCCACCTTTGCCGCTGTGCCCCCCGTTACTGTCCTTTCGCAACACTACCATGTTGATTATTTCCTAATAATGCGTTTTAAAAGCTTTAAAGCCCCGCGAGCCACTCCTTCCGACCGCCCCATCCGCCGGTGGAGTAACGGCCCAGTCGCAGCCGCCGCGCCGCTGTTGGTGCAGCAGCTGCTGAAGGCACCGAAGAGTAGCAGCGATGAACCGGGGGGAGTTCGCTGGCGAGTTGGCGCTTGGCGTAGGGTGCTCCGAGCAAGCGGATCCGGAGTCCGAGTGTCGCCCACTGCCGGCCGTTGCCTTTGGTTGCCAGCTCTCTGGGTCGCAGTTCTGGGTCGTTCTTTGGCGCCGCTGCCGTCACCACCCCTGTTCATGCTGACTAGCGAGCGCTATGGCCGTCTGTTCCTGAGATGAACGCGGCAACTCGGGCTTTTCGAGCGTCTACAGGCCCCGCCTCGACCAGCCCAGCCCAGCGGGTGACGTCAGTGAGGCGGGCTTTTTCGATGCTGTTTCGTTTGCAATGAGATGGCGAGATTTTTTAACTATAAAAAGCGCTTCAGCTGCTCAGCTGCGCTAGCAGCAGCAGCGGCGGCTCATGAACAGCAGTAGCAGCAGCAGCAGCATCGCTGGGATGGTGCCGATGGTCGTAGTACTGTTAGTGATGGTGACCAATGGCGAGCCGAGGAAAGTTCTTGAAACGCGCAGCCCGCAGGGGTCCTTCAAAGGCCCCTTTGTTTATGTCTACCTTGGGGACATCGACAACGTGCCCCGCCTCTATAACTTCCCTTTTTGTCCCCATTTTAGTGCTTGTCCCCACGTTGCTGCCAACGCTTTTCTCTTTCCCCTGCACTCTAAAATGCCCCTAGTCGACACCGCCATCCTTCTGGAGATTCTTGTGCCAATATGCCCCATTTACCCCCTCACGGTTGGTTGTTAGGGGTTTTTCGACTGGCCGATGGCCTACCCCGGCCTATCAGGGCCCAAATGAGTGGACATCGAACGGCCCACAACCGGCCACCGACCTGGGCAGAGCTCTAAAACCATCTTGAAGAAAAACCGTCTAGCAAATGCGATGCTGGACACGGCAGGCTCACGGTAGTAGTAGCAGCAGCAACAACAGCAGCAGGGGCATTGGCAACGGCAGTAGCTCTGGATCGTAGTGCGCCTCCGTTGTTCTTTCGTCTTTTTTCTTGTTTCCCCCTTTTTCTTTATTTGCCCCCAGCTAGGCTCTTGAGTTCTGCTGATTCCTCTGAAGTTAGATTCGTTGGGGGTGGCTTGCTTGGAGAAGCGTTCTTCAAGCAACTGAGTCGTTCATTCGCCGGCGTCTCGCTTGCTTGCCTTTCCTAACAACCGTTAGGGGTAATGCGGGGCTTGATTATGTGTAAAAAAGACATGTATATTGTTAATGAAATTCGCATGATTTTCGCATGATCCGGTGGCGGATTTCGGTGAACGCCGCACGGAGCCCGCCGCTGATTAGCGCTGGTACCAATTGAACTCCCACTAGATGTTCTTCCAGTTTCTAGAAAATTCACAAAATATGTATACGAACGCGAATTAAGTATATAATCGGGACTGAAAAGCGGGCATCCTAGCCCGCATTAACACACTAGAGAAAAATGATACACGATCCAATGTAGAATCTAGAATTGACCCAAATATGCATGTGGTCGTCTGTGGTACCGTTCTAACTTGCCAGTATGACCAGGATACTTTATACGCACAATATATATACAATATACGCAGAATGTAAGCTGATCAGATCCGAAATCAACGATCAATAAATTGTGGAGTATTCCCCGCTGCTGTATGAGGTGGCACGCTGACATGCGCATGTTGAATATCCTTACCTTAGCCAATAATAGACACCGTCGAGCGAGGCGTAAATAGGGGCCGTAGACATGGATCAACCCAACTTTCCTCTTCTGATTATACTTCAAAAAAGTTTTTAGGAATATAACACTGCTAAAACATATCCGCTACTATGTTCAGAATAAGCGCAGCGTCGTGGGTTCGTTTCTCAAACCGATTAGGCCTTCTAGAGAATATCAACACCAATCACAGGTGCAGACGAGCACAAGGTAATATCAGTAGACTCGATGCTGACAAGTCCGAACCTTACCGCGATCGCGCACGCACACAAACACACAGTCAGATACAATGACCTTAGCAAAGCTCGAGTCGCGGCATCTTTTAACCAAGGGCAAGTTCAATGTAGTGAGCAGTAAAAATACGATGTTGCTATTGTTGTTCTTGCCGTCGTTCTAGCAACGACAACTATCATACAATTACGACGTGGACTGTGCTAACAGCAAGACAGTTGCTTGCCCCTCCGACACACACAGCAAGCATTACAAAAAAAAACGACGACAACGATCGCAATTTATACGAGTTTGCCAATAGTCGTCGCCGCCGCCGGGGTCTTGTTGGTTATCTAATTTATCGCCCGAAATCAATTTTGCCCCGACGGCAAGCGGCAACTACGCCAGTGGCAGCCAAAGCAGTACCCGATTTAAGGGAAAGTAGCGACTGCAGCGGTGGAGATCTACCATTACTTCGACTATAGAAAAGCATCCGATTATTCGATGGCGACACCGAAACTCGGAACTACGTCGGATGGCGTCATATGGCGAATCTTGTGTTGCGACCGCGGTTAACTCTACGGAACGGCTGTCCTCCAGGGTTTAGAAGTTGCGTCAGTAGCAGAGGATAACTGCAGCCGAGTTTTCCCTGGCGAAAACCCCTCCCCAGCGTCAGCTACGTCGGTTACGGCAATGGGCATCGAAAGAATTGAAGTCCGTTGGAGCCCAACCCAAGTCAACCATAGAAGTCGCTCAGCGCGAGAAAAAAGAGAAAGAGAACGCTGTCCACGCTGTGGACATTTCAGAAAAAAAACATTTTGCAGATGCAACTTTGTGACTGACAGACGCAGCCTCCTTGTGAGCACCGTTGCCAAGCACTTGTTCGTTAGCAGAAAACTAACGGAACGAATTGTATCTAAATGTCGATAGCAGTGACCCGCAAGCGAGCCACAAGGCTTGAACGCAAGTGCTACCGGACTGGATGGGATGGTAAATCG